ATTTTTGATAATGCCCCTTCTTCTTTTTTCTATATTTTTCTTTTTCTTTTGATAAGCCGATCTGACTTTGTACTGACTCGAACTGTTGGGTGGGCCGTTCGGGTACCTCAGCTGGGCTTTCAAACCCTAGTTAGAAGCAACAAACAATCAAACATTCCTGGCCAACTTTTCTCACTCATATTACCAAACATGTTTTTTTTTCATAGCACAATGATGCACCAAACCACATTTATACATAGACATGGATATGCAAAACGACGATGAATAACATCAGAAGCAATCCGAAAATGAAGGAGTGTACCACTATTGAAATGAGACTGGTTTTCATGTTCATGAAGTCCACAGCCCTGTGTTTCCCAGGTAGCTGGAAAATCAACCCTGGAGTTAGCAGCGCGAACAAAGTTAAGGCCACAATCGGTGAAGCCCAGTCCTTCATCCTAATCTCTCTCTCTCTCTCTCTCCTCGGACTTGTCAATTCATATATGGAATTTGCAGTAAATCTCTCTCTGTCTCTCTATATATGAGATATATATGAGAGACAGAACAGCCAGAGTTTCTTCCTACTAAACTCTTTCTCTCTCTCTCTAGTGGAAATGGTAGAACTTATTCCTTCTCTTTCTCTCTCTAGAAGGAGCTTAGAGATTAGAGTATCATTGCTCATATGCAATAGGAAATGTAAGAAATAATTGCACCTTTGCATAATTGTGTTAGGCTTGGGAATAAAAGCATAAAGGATCAAAGCTTATATGCCCTAAGACACAGAGAGAGAGAGAGAAAGAGGGGTATTGGATGCCAAATGCTTGATGAGAATCTTACAGTTTCCGATTAAGTAATGGTAAATGAAATTGAGAAGTAACAAATTAAGTGATTTTAGTCGTTTATTAATTTTGTCTACGACTCCAGATACATTGGCTCGTGGTGGGACCAAGGGAAATTTAGCTTTTTTAAAGGGAAGGAAAAAAGGCCGGTCTAAGTTAACAGAAAATTGTCACTAGTTCCCACATTTTTATGAGTTCGAATTAAAATCCATTTAATTAAATGGTTTTGTCAGGATATTCCTTAATGCCGTGTATTTTCTTAAAGTATACTCAATGTTTTTTAAAATTTAATACTCTTATTTCACATTATAGTGATTTTTTTTTGTCAAGAGACAATTTAAGTATTAATTAAGAGTAAAATCTAATTTTTTGACAGAAAAAAAAAATTTATTAGTTATAATAAAGAATGAAATCATCAACATGAGGTATGACATTACCATATGGAACATTCACTATTGTAACCATTAACATAATGTCACTGGTTTTTTTATATAAATATCTATTTTACGTCTAACAAATGCCCTTGCTCTAAAAACTTATGGGTTAACGAAACAAGGACAATGAGTGTTTAATGAATATTGAATATATTAAAGAAATACTCCATATGTAAGAGTACACCTACAAGACCTTAAATATGTCACTATATCCAAGCATTAAAATATCAAAAATTCCTAAACCATTTCCTAATGGCATTTTATAGGATCACATAAAAGAACATTGGACAAATAAAATTATTAAGTTTTTCCTTTTTCTATATTTTATTGACCAGGAAAGAAGGTGTTTATTTGTTGGATTTGCTAAGTTAAATGTGAGCAAAATTGTTTAATTAATGATAGTTCTTACTTATAAGATATGCCTCATTTAAAAGAAAGTAGGAATAAACTCTATAAATTATGAAGAATACGAATTAAAAAAGCGATGGGGTATTAAACTTTATTTTTTATGAAATATCACTTCTTTTGAAATTCGTCAAAGGTGATGAGTTCTTTATTGATTTGGTAAGACCATCTTCATACCATAGGACCCTAGTTTTCATTCTACAAAGAGGCGCCCACCATAAAGTTGTTTTATACTTGGTCAGGGTTGGAGAATGAGTATAGATAAAAAGCAGATTTTGTCATCCATTAAGCATGGCGTCACAATCACATTAAAAGAGTTATTCGAAACCTGATCCGTACGATGGATAGTCCATCCATGTATCTATGTCGGATTGGTGGATTGCGGATTTGGATTGGTTTGAATTGACAATTCAAGAAGATCTTAAAAAATAGAATCAAATTAAAACAAAAGTTTATAGAGTAGGATTTGGGGGGGGAGGGGGGGATTAGTTTGGTTCCGACCGATTTTCGATCTCAATCATCAATTTCCAATCTAAATTATCGAATTACTAAAGTTTTTTTTTTTTCGCAATAAACTAAATTATTTAAATCCAAGTATTTTAGAAAAAAAATGACAAGAAAGTTCAACTTTAAACAAGGGGGTGGGGCATTGGTGGTTAGGAGGGTGGTTTCCTCGTAAAGTCCCACCCTCCGTTTCCACCATTAACACGTCTGAAAATTTAAATTAAATCCAAATTTAAACAAAGAATTTCATACTTCCATTTCGTGAATTTTATGTTACTAATTTTTATACTTCTCAAAATCGGATATTTTCTATTCAATCCTAGGATGTGATTTAACATTTAGAGTGTGCATTGAAGCTTTTGCTTTCTAGAGTTAACTACTAAGATTTGGTAAGTTAAATCCAAAACACTTATCATAATAAACATTTATCCTGATTAGATCAAATGGATATTTTAATCCAAGATTTTTAAAATATTTAATCCTGAAAACTAAAAATGCATGTCCCAAGTTTATTCACTAAAGATTTTCATGAGCAATGCCTGACAAAGATAGTTTATTTTGTCGTACCTGATAAAGAAAGGAGCATGTATATTATGCTCCCTCATGACCAAAGAACAATCCACACTCCAATTCTTGATTCTCACGGTTCCCACCCCGGTCCAATCTTTACATAGGCATATATTACATCATTCTCCTATAGTGTTCGCAATATCGGCCGGTTCAACTCGAGCCGGCCGGTTAGATCGGAATTGGGCACTGGCTAGTTTCAATTTTAGTGATTCGTTCGGATATTTTTAAAAAATTTAAAAATATATATATAAAATCCTACAAAATAAGGGATTTGTTTGTAATACATTTTTTAATGTTTTTTTATCATTTTGGATGGAAATTGTTGTGGCCATGAATGTTTATTTTTATATTTTTTCTATCTTTTTTTAAAACTTTCAAAAATACCCCTAGACACAAATTGAGTTTTTTAAAATCTATTTTTTCATCAATTTTCAACTTCATTTGGATGTGCTTTGTTTAAACATGCTTTAAACATACTTTTCATTTTTTTTTTAGATTTGTTTTGTAGTTTTTTATTTTTTAACATATTTTCTACCACTCAGAACTTGCGCGGTTAGACTGGGTGAACCAATTGATTTACCGGTTACTCAAAACTAGCCTTTGGCCAGTTTATGACATCGGTTCGATTTTTCAAACCCGTGCATATACTACAATTTCCTAAAGACAGAAGGCTCAAAATTCTAGTGTTTCGAAATGAATTTTAAAATTTTTCTTTGCAGGTCTATTCGGGGAACCTTTATATATGCCACTGGGTATAGAAAATTTAGCATAACTTCAACCATAATGTTAGAAATTAGCATTTGACCGTTTGATCTTGATCTAATGGCTTATAATATTTTAATTTTAATTTCTTTCTACAAATCATATTGACACAAATTTGGAGTGTGATATCGTCTCATTGGGGTGCACATACAAATAATATAAAAAAGACATCTCTAACAAAAATAAAACCAAACTACCCGGCACTCCCCAAAATTGGTATCAATATGATTTATAAAAAGTAAAAATAAAATAGTATATAAGGGTGAAGTTGTGATTGAGGTCGTTTCAGCTGTCCAGTCAGATTGGATGGCCTGAATAATGGTAGCATATATAATTCCTCCTAATGGGATATATATTAAGGATAGGAAAAATATTAAAAACGCCTATAGGTGAATTATTACCCATCACGGACCGCAGACCTACAGGAGCCGTAGCAGTCCCTTTATATTTTTTGCATCAATTTTACGTGAAAAAATCCCGTTATGGACATACTATAACTGTGACGATCTTTAATCCATACCATCCGAAAGAATCGGATGGCGTGCAGTCTATGGGCGAAAATACTGTTCATTTTTGCTCATAAACGTTTTGTAGTATTTTCCATTAACGATATGCATACAATGAGACCATTTACTTTTGATACAAGGTATTACGATCGTTAGATTTGAAATCAAGTGATTGTAGAAGGGTCATTGTTTGTACATAATATTTAAATTAAAATTTCTCGAATGTTATGATATACTTTCATCAATTAGATTTCATATCCAATGGCTCATAGTATACAATCTCATATGCCTACTAGAAAGTTCGTAACGTATCGGCAAGAAACCATAATTACACAAGCAAATGCCTTACGCCAACCTCGATAAATATTTTTTTGAACCTTAACATTTCTATCCATTTATTATATTATATTCTCAGTAACGATGTACATGAACGCAAATTCATGTCTAGGTGGATTACTAAATTGTATAGTTATTGCAAAAATAATGACATGGATAGAGTCGTTGGTTTTATCCATTTCTTAATTTAATTTTAAAATGCTTTTTCAAACCTATAATTTTTAAAAAAGGCAAACTATTAAATTAACTAATTAATATATTAGATGTATTTTGACAAATTTTATAATATTTATCAAAACGTTGTGGTTTGTATAAGGTTGCAACCTTAAACAATTAAAATAAGGTGCACCTCCAAATTTTATTGTAAGATGGGTGTCAAAATTTCTTTGGATGAGCGGAAAATCCATTTTCGTCTTTAATTATAAAATTTTAAACTACCAAAATGGTTCAAATCAAATAGATCTATTAACTCATGAAAATCTTAAAAATGGATGGTCTAAATAATATATTGCAAGATACACTATTTTGAGGATTTTTTTTTTCATATTTATATATCTAAATGTCGAGATGCTCAATTGGAGAGGTTTTTAAAATCAAAACAGCTTCTTATGACGGATTTTTTAGCTGCACCTTTTTGTTTTTTTTGGATATAAATAAGTGGGGAGAAGGCCCTTTACCCGGTTTTATTATTAATACTTTAAAATAAAGTCCTTTACAGCTTAGTTGTTTACAATCTAGAACATGACACCTGACAAATCATGAAGTAAAAGCAAAAAAAAATATAATTTAACATACGTGAACACCAAATTAACAAGATGTGGCCCTCTTTGCAAGCTTTTTATATAAACTTTTTCCTTATCAAAGCATTCTTAACATTTTACCCATTTATTCCATCTATTCCAACTCAAGATAATATATTTTTATGAATATTTAAAATTAAATAAAAAACATGAGCAAGACCCACTTGCATATGACCCAACTCAAGATATTATATTTTTATGAATATTTAAATTAAAATAAAAAAATATGAGCAACACATTAAATTGTTCAAAGTTCATAAATGCCTCAAAATTTCGCTTTTTTGGGTCACGCCGAATAACGTGGTTTTCTGTCTTCCCGAAAACTTTAAGTCATTTCGCGGAAATTCAAAGCAAATGCCAAAGCTCAGCTTTACAGACAAAGCGCCAAGCCATATCGAGCCGTCCTTTCGCCCACATAGAGATCTTAACCGTCAAACCTAGGTTAGCGGGTCAGGCCATATTCTGCCTCACCGGCACGAAACTACAAACACGGAGAGCATGGATTCCAAACGTGTGATGTCGTTCTGCCGTCTCCCTTTCTCTCTCTAACTTCTTATTCCCGCTTCAACTCCAAAGAGGGTGAGAGAGAGAGAAAGGGGTGCTGACTGACAAGTTGGAGAGAGAGAGAGAGAGAGGTGGTGAGTTGCAGATTAGAGAGAGAGAGAGGGAGGGGAGCAATGGCGTCGTCTGATTGGGGACCAGTAGTTCTTGGGGTTCTGTTATTTATACTGTTTTCTCCTGGTTTGTTGTTTGAGTTGCCTGGAAATACGAGGCATGTGGAGTTTGGGAGCATGAAAACCAATGGAAAAGCTGTTGTGGTTCACTCTCTCATCTTCTTCACTGTCTTCACCATACTCATCCTCGCTGTGGGTGTACACATCAACGCTGGTTAACCAAATCTCTCTCTAGATTTCTCATTTATTGATTTCTCTCCTCTCTCTCTAGGTTTCTCTATCTCTCTCGGTTTCTCGGTGAGTTGCTCAGTCTATCCTCTCTCTGTTATGTCTGTTATGTTGTTCTGACCTCTCTACTCCCCTGTTTCCATTTCTATTTCTTTTTTTTCCTCTCTCTTGACAAAAAAAAAAAAAGGGAGAGATACAAAAAATTTGTGTCTCCAATTATGTATCGGACGATTATCATTATCAATATACTTTTCTTCTTTCATAATCTGGTTTTTACTTTCCTTTTTTTGTTGTTCATAATGGGTTGTCTCAAAATTGGATTGGTTTCGATTTTTTTTTGTTTATTGTTGACAGTTATAGTTAATAATGGTGGGAAGCCTCTTTTTCAACTCCAACAGGAGCAAGCAGATCTATTCCGCCAAGCTTATCGTTATATTTACTTTCCAGGATTCAGTTGTGCAATTTCCGTCTCTCTCTCTCTGCACGGCAATCTGGCTTAAACACATCTAGGATTGGGTTTGGATTTGAAGCGCCCAGCCCATATTTTTATGGACCTGGTGTCTGTGCTGCCAAGCCCACATGCGTAGAATAAATTTATTCTTGAGATGGATTTTTAGATTTAATTTTTAAAAATAGATAATATCTAATATGGAGTTCATCAATATGAATAAATAAATAAATTTTAAAAACAAAAAATAAAATTTTAAGAAAAAAAACATTTGGACCATTAGTTTAGAACCCCTGCTTGCATCCATCTTTAAGATGGATGTGCAGTCATGCGGTCCCAGACAATTTTCCTATTTTTATTGGATCTGGGCCTATGCTTGAGGGGTCATAGCCCTGTTCAGCCACATATTAGAGAGAAGCCCGGGCGCAGCCCGACCTAGCTAATGGAACCATGCTTTGGGCATGCGGGGCTTCGATCCAACTAGGACAAGGGCAAGCAAGGCTGGTAGTCAACTTTGACTCCATGGCTTTTCTCTCCCTATTCGTATCTTCCCTGGCATAGTTTATGTCGTCAGTGTCACGGCATTTATTACTTAGTCAATGTACGTTTTAATAATGGGAAAGTAGAGAATAGCGAATGAGATTATTTGCTTTTGAAGCAAGGTGGTCACATTAATCTTGATCATTGGATATGATATTGGGTGGTTGTAATTATTTTATTGATCAAACTCAAATTTTAATTATTTTTTTTGAACTTTTTAACACATTCAATCTATCAAATTTCATATCAAAAAGTCACTAGGAATTGTGGCTACTTTGTATCATTATATACAATTTAGGGTTTTAAAAATCGGCGAGTCGCAATGGATTCGCTCGAGTCAACACAGGAATCGAGCATCCCGTATCGATTCTTGTGTAAAATCGGGAATTGCCTGATCCTAGAGGAGAACCAACAGTGAATCGCCCTTTACGCCAGATCCTAGAATAGCGAATCGCCCCTTACGCCCGATCCTAGAACAACAAATATCCCCTATTACGTCATAAATCGTGATTCCGCTATTCCCGCCCGATCCTAGAGAGGAATCATCAGTGAATCGCCCATATTACGCCATAAATCGCGATTCTACTGAGTGATGTCATAATTCCCACCTTTAGTGACATCATAGGGAATCAACAGTGAATACCCCATGTCGATTCTTCTGTAAAATCGGGAATCACCCTTAGTGACATCATAAACCAGGAATCACCCTTAGTGACATCATAGAGAATCAATAATGAATACCTCGTGTCGATTCTTCTACAAAACCGGGAATCGCCCCCTATTACGTTATAAGCGTTCCTAGAGGGTGTCGATTCTTCTGCAAAATCGGGACACCCTTAGTGACGTCATAGGGAATCAACAGCGAATACCCCTTGTCGATTCTTCTGCAAAATCGGGAATCGCCCCCTATTACGTTATAAGCGATCCTAGAGGGTATCGATTCTTCTGCAAAATCGGAATCTCTCGATCCTAAAGGAGAATCAACGGTGAATCGCCCCTATTACGTCACAAGCGATCCTGATCTGCAAAACCGGGAATCCCTCAATCCTAGAGGAAAATCAACAGTGAATCGCCCTTATTACGTCATAAGAGAATCAACAGTGAATTATCTGCAAAATCGAGAATCACCCGATCCTAGATCCTAGAGAAGAATCAACAATGAATTATTTACAAAATCGAGAATCGCCCAATCCTTGATCCTAGAGGAGAATCAACAGTGACCTATTACGTCATAAGCGATCTTGATCCTAGAGGAGAATCAACAATGATTACGTCATAAGAGAATCAACAGTGAATCGCCCCTATTACGTCATTACGTCATAAGAATTGCCACTATTACGTCATTACGTCATAAATCGCCCCTATTACGTCATAAATCGCGATTCGTCATAAGAGAATCAACAGTGAATATTCCCTATTACGTCTTTATGTCATAAATCACGATTCGTCATAAAAGAATCAACAGTGAATTGGCCCGTCATAGGGCCGCTTCTTATTACGTCATTACGATCAAAAGTGAATCGGCCCGGCATAGGGCACCTATTACGTCATTAGGTCATAAATCACGATTCCACTTAAGGTCGCCCTGTGAGGTCAGGGGGCGCAATTCCATTTAGTGAAGTCATAGGGTCGCTAAGTGAGGTCGTCCTGTGAGGTCAGGGGGCGAGTCCTTACTTGAGGACTTTTTGATAATTTTTTTCAAAATATCATTTTAGTTTGCCCTTTCTCTCCATCACGATGGCAGTAGAGCTTTGTAAAGGTATTTATATCTTATAGACTTTATCCAATTCTTCAATGTAGGACTTGTGCTAAGTGATATTATATTGAAAATTGATATAATATAGGTAAATATTATACAAAACTCTTCAGCAGCATGTGGAGGGCTGTCGTGGTTAGCAGCAGAGGTTTTATGCGTGACGTCGGGACGCACTATTGCACAAAATTTATTTTTGTCTTCATAAATTTTTTTTAAAAAATTATAACATAATTTTTTTTTTTTAAAATAATATCATATAAAAGAAGAAGAAGATAGGTTTTTATTTTTGTCTTAAAAAAAAACTAAAAATTGTCTTCATAAAAAAAAAAGAAAGATAGGATTTTACTTTTGTCTTAAAAAAAAGAAACTAAAATGAAGAAAATAATATGATAAAAGAAATAAAAAAATAAAAAGTAACACAACAAGCAAAAAAAAAGAAGAGGTAATATAACATCTTCTTTTTTTTCTTGTCAAAAAAAAAAAGAAAAAGTATACAACAAATATCATATTTTCTCGTTAAAAAAAAAAACAAGTATTTCTTGCCAAAAAAAATAAAAGATATTTCTTAATACAACAAATATTTTTTAATACAAACTAGGAATAACTGATCTAATTATAAGTTTTATTTTTATAATATGGTAAGCTTTAACATAAATTTAGGAATATTAGTTTTAAGATATGACTCATACACATTTGAAATATTTCTCTGT